CATTATGTCGCCTTCAGAAGTATGTTAAGAAACATCTGTGTGCATATACATAATAAGATTGTAGGCAGCTGATGTAAAAGTGGTACAATAGACGGTGGTACCATTTTATTCTGCGAAAAACCTTTTCTTTATTCAAATCACTCAAGGAGAACGTGGATGTGAAATATCAATAACCGTAGTGCATATATGATGGAACAAATAGAGGAAGAAATGGAGATGGATTGGCTGGCCATACTCTGAGAAAACCATCAGGTGACATCACACGCTAAGTCATCACTAGAGTGGAACCCGAATGGGTAGTGGCAAGTTGACCGTCAGTGCGAGGGGTCATGTCAGGAGTAAATGAAAGCGAGTGGAAGACGTGGAGCCAGGTGAAAACATTGGTGAAGAACCGAACGCAATGGAGACGTGCGGCTGAAGCCCAATGTTCCTCTAGGAATTGAAGGAAACAATAATAATATAATGATAATATATGACAAATGTTCTCCTATTATAAGCAGCCTGATTGAGTCTATAGTGAGGTGATGGCAGCTTACAAGAATTAAGCAAGCATGTTGTAGATAACTCTGATGAAGAAGCGTCGCCTAAGTTCATCAGATGTTTGGGAGTTAAGCTAATGATTGCCTTACATTATCCTCTTGCTAACTATGACGTATAATGTTCAGAGATGCATTTGTAAAGTGTGTATCATGTGCAGTCAAATCGAGTGAATTGAGGAACACACACTGAAGTGACCCAACGTGTCAATTTTTTTGCACACACTCAATGAACTTGGAATGTCTGTACAGTGTACCTCGCTTCGTAACCTAGTTGTCATCAGTTCATTTATCGATCGGGTGTCAGATGAGTACTGATGAAGATTTCAAAACGGGGACGAGGCAGCTGTCAAGTAATTCCTGGTTCTCCAATGATTTCCTAAGTGATATCAATCCGCAATTGGGCCTTGAAACCATTATAACTAACTAAGAAACTAACTCACTGAAAACGAAAATATATTCAGCAGAAGGCAATTAAATGAAGAATAGTGAGGATTTGTAGGATATGCAAAATTACAAGGAGTAAATACATCTGCGTCAATAGCAATTTTCAACCATTCGTTCTTAGAATTTTGATGACTTTAGACAAGGAGTCTGCGACTCTTTACGTGACTCAAACGAACAGTCAGTATGTCCATCCCTAAATCTTTGGCAGCTTGGTTTTATATCATGTAACACTGTGGTTTGAGGTTAGTGGTGGCAGGCTCTGAGCGACACATGTGTTAGGCATCTTACAACTTTATTGATTCGCTTTCTGTACTTTTCGATTACTTTAAACATAACTTTATTATTAATAACCACACTACACCTCCTAACATGAGAAATTGAACGTAGACAGCTATAGTCATATCTTCAATTATTGTCAGCCATATCTCGAGGTAATTAAGAAGAACATCGTAAGTTTCCACTGAAAGTGCACACGTTCTTTAATGGTTAGCCGGAAACCTGCTCTACAGATAAGGTAAATTGGACGAATTTTTTATTTCTTTGCGTTTACAGTGGAACAGACGGCTTCAAGCAAGAGCTTTGAAGATAGAGCTTATATTATCTACCAGGTGAGGTTAAGAAGTGCGTTAGCCGACAGTGGAAACCCAAACCGCTTGTTTGGTTGGCTAGTGTCCTATTACTGAACCACTACTGATTTACCATTAAAAATAATTAACACCATGTCTCATTATCCAATCAGATAAGGATTACCAAGGTAGGTTAAGAGTAATAATAAACTGTCTTTCTAGTTATCGCCTCATGGTCACCCGTAATGTTCGTTATAGATAGTATATGAAACTGTTATAACACCAGTCTTGTGATTAATATTAATCAATTGTTTAATCATAGACAAATTCGGAAGTCTACCACCTGCGCTTATTGTGGTTTCACAGATCATCTGTTTGTCTAACCACTTGGATATATGTTGTCTCTTACTTCTTTTTAAGTACATGTGACCATACATTCATGTCAATCAGTGTAGTTTGGAATGCGACTTTTGCAATCATTTGTGCAATGTCTAAGCTCACAGTAGAGCAAAAATTTGGCTTTTCTCTCATAATTTTGAGCCAGAATGCATAATAAGTTTTATGGATGATTCAATTCAGTCTGTGTATTAAAACCCTGTTGTGTATCTCCTCATTTCGAGATAGTTTTACGCAGACCTCTTTCTTCGATTTGAGACTAGGTTGTGTCAAATGTTGTACATCCACTCCTTCTTTTGATGAAGAGGAAACTGTCTAAGTCAAGCTGTCAATGTGACTGACAAGCACGAAACCTAAGTTCAAGATCCCCCACCAAATGCCTCCAACAACCTAATAAACTCTTCCTTTGAGATGAAACAAAATGAAGGTTTTGAAAAACTCATTAACCTGCACATCATTTCAAAAATTTCAGGAATATCAACATTCATCAATATCTGCTCTTCGTCAACTATAACGCCAGATGCACAAACAAACTGGCTCCTGTTAAATAATAATAATAGCTTCATTTTGGACAGTGTTTATTTAATGTGCAGAATTTTCAGTGGAGTTCAATGCAGATTTTTTTCATCATACAAGATGTTCAGATGAAATATTAACTGACAATAGTTCCTATGACACAATGCTGTCTTACCTGATGCATAAACCAGTCACTTATGGCATTTCTTATTCCTTTCTTCAGAGAAATCCACGATATTTGGTAGAAAGCCAACAGTGGAAAGTTGAGGAGTAGATTTTCAGACCTGATGATATGACTCAAGAACAATTAACTCATGTATTAAGATACGCTGCCATTCATGATTATACTTTTTCTCAGGTTTAATAGAAACGGACAAATCAGCAGGTTGTAAACCCTTTAATTACTTGTGAAGGTAAATAATACCGTTAAAGATAACATTTTTAGTAGACTAGGACAAAGTGAACAAGTGAAAATATATATGCACTATAATGATGAAGGATTTTAGTGGATCAATTTTTAAGCAGGCCTCCTGATCTAAATAAACACTTCACAGAGTATTTCGTATATTGCAATAGAAACTTTGACTAGACACAAGTTAGTGATTAGTATATTGTGTCTAGTACTTTGTTTACAGCAAAGTGAATTCTATCAGTCAAGTGTATAGGGTGGCCACCAAACCAGGTGGCTTGCCATCATGGTGTACTTGAATTGTTGATATTTGATGGTTGAAAGCGATCGGTCGAAAGCCTTAGACCTAGTTTTTGTGCTTGCTAACACTCACCAGTGAGCAAGGTTTATCTGTAGCCTTGAAGGTACTCATGTCCCTCCAATCAAAAATAATAATCGTGAGCCCGAATAGCTCTTTTGTAACCTCTCTGACTGCAAAATTGGCTAGCACCAGTTTGTATCTCAAGAGGGACATGAGGTCCTTGAAGGTCGTAGATACACCTTTTCGACTGGTGATTAACAGCTAGCATGTAACTTAGGCCTGAGCAAGGCTTCCTGCCAATCGCCTCTAATGTTAAATACTGTCTCTATCTGTCTGTCTGTTTTCGACATAGAACTTTGCACATATGTGCGGCAGTTCCAGTCGTCACACTCCATCCATGTAGCTTACAAAGCAACAGAAGAAAGTAGATGAAGTACATATTAGAGACAGTAAAAAGAGGTGTGAGACAAAGGAATAGTAATAACGAAGAACAAAGCAGTTTCATTGAAAATGATAAGTCACAAGGAGTGGATGCATCTGCGCTAGTCATTGACAACGACGATTTTGAGCCATGTCACCAATAGTTTCCAACCATTGGTTTTTACCGTTCCGAGGACCCCAACAAATCAGTCAGGTAAACTACACCTTCTTACGTGGCTTAGACTAACTGTTATGGATTTCATTGACTGATGAAGCCATGTTTTGGTTTGACCGCCTTGAGCTCTTTTCCAGCCTGACCTATTTCTGCTAACATTGCCCGTCGAGGGATGCGATGACCAGGCGTGAATACGTAACACATGTCTTAACCATCTCAGTCGATGTAATTTCACAGCCTCGTCGATTGATTTCCCCTCCTTACCGAGCACGCGACGCCTAACCTCAATATTGCTCACCTTATTATGCCACTTCACACGGGAGATAGAACGCAGGCACCTATGATCAAAGACAGCTAGCCAGCCTTTTCATGTCTTCCACTCTCAGTGATCAGGTCTCGCAGCCATAAAGGAGGACGGAGCGGACTGATGAGCAGTTCACCCGCCCCTTTGGTCGATAGTCGGATATCACGTCTACGCCAGAGACGGTGTAAACTGGCAAATGCGTAACGAGCCCCCTGTATCCGTGCCGAGATTTCATCAGAGATCGACCCGTCGGGGCTGGCGGATGGTACTCCCCAAATAAGTGAAGTGGTCAACGTGCTCTACCACTTCACTTCCTATTTCTAATCTAGGAGTCGGTGTAGTCCAGTCCTGTAACATCATCTTGCATTTGGCGGGAGCGAATCGCATGCCAAACATCCGTAAATTGCAGCTCAAGGTATTTAGAAGACTCTGCATTTTGTCAGCGTCTTCGCCTAGAAGGAATATATCGTAAGCATATTCTAAGTCAACGATATTATCCCCTGGTAGCAAGTCAATCCCTGAGTTGCTGAAGTCACTTAGGGTTAAGTCCATTAGTACATCTATGATGAAGTTGAATAGAAAAGAGGATAATGGGCATCCTTGACGGACACCACTGGTCGTCATCAGTTCAGATGACAACTCGCCGTAAGCCCTTACCTGGCTGCATGAGTTCGAGTAGAGTGCCTTGATCATTGCAATGAATTTTCTCGGCCAAGCATCGCCAGAGTACCTCTCTGTCGACAGAACCGAATTCCGCCTTCAGATCAAGAAATATAATGATTGTTGAACGCCAGTAGGAATGCCTATGTCCTAGAATCTGTCGAAGGGTAAAGATATGATCAATACAACCTCTTCCTGGTCAAATACTGCTTTCACTAAGTAAGCTTCCTGAAAAAAACCAACAGCTTCATTGAACACCATCCTCGACTCCATACAGAATTATACGTACTATCACAGGACCAAATTGTTACACATGGATCAAAGTCAATCTCAGCAGTCGCCAAGACCATTTCCCATTAAACAACACAACCAATATAGACATCGTTATCAATATTATTATCTTTAATATTACACATAAAAAATATTCACATAATTATGAACACCACAGATATGAAAATAAACAGTACAAAAAAAAAGAAAGAGCAAAGGAAAATAACAAATTGGAAAATCATCATAAAATATACAATTTTAAATTTATTTTTTAAAAGTAATTATTATTTTAAATTATGAAGTATCACTTGTACACAGTACCAGTTATAATCGCCTTCATCTTTTTGTGTTTATAATTGCTTGTTTTAAAATCCAATAAAGAGGAATCATTTTTTTAAACTTATTTTCTTTGTTATAAAATTGAATTTATCTCATCCAACCGTATGGAAAGTGTATTAAAAATAGGAAACTTTGGTTGGATCCTGGGGGCTAAAGGTAGAGGCCGGGGTTACAAATGTGATGTTTGAGTAGAAATTATTGATTATGAGTTGATGAAGACGTGTAGAAATGAATTGGTAAGTGAGTGAGTGAGTGCGTAGACGATTTCGTCTATTACAAAAAAGAGAAAATTTATATTTGGTTCTCATAATTTATTACTTTCATTATTGTTTAAATCAACGTTGAATAATTTCTCTTCAACATTGAATGATTTCGGTATGATCGCTGATGTTCTTGGTAGAGTTGGTGCTATCGTTTTCGTTTGTAGTGGACTGCTATTAATATTATTATTATTATCGATAGTATCACCCATCGACTCAGATGATATATTACTCACTCGCCTGAATCTACTTCCAATATGTTTTAGCCCAATAATTAATATACAAGCAGTAATTACAAGAAGACATGCAGTACCCATAACTAAGTAGGGGAATACAAATTGTCCATGTGTTTGAATTAAATTCCCCGCTGTATACTGAAGTAGTGTAGCTCCAGATGAACTACCAAAGTTAACAATAATCACTAAAAATCCTGATATTTCACTCGCATTATTAATACAACCCAGTGTTGCTGGAAATAGAGGACTTTTAAACAAACTAAATAGTGTTGTACATAAGAAAAACCAAAATTTTGTATGTGGTAGAACAATCAACCCGATAGAACTTAATAAAGTACCAAATGCTAATGTGATTAAGACAATATTCTCTGAGATATATAAAGCAATAAAAAAGGTAATTATCCGTGCAGAACAAAAACAAACCCAATAGATTAAATTTATAAGATAACCATCAGAAGTACTTAGTCTAACAGGACCATATAATGCATATGTGAACATAAATTTCCCAAAAACACGTTCATTTCCGACAACAGTAAAAAATGTTACAAATGTACAACAAATAACTAAAATTTTTGTCTTTGTAACACTACGAGATGTTCTCAGACAAAAAGAATGGAATCTTTTATACAACTTGGATAGATTTATTGAGGATTTCTCGTGTAATTTTTTATCCGGTAAAGGCGATGCCGTTGACGATGATGATGTAATCTGGAGAAGAAAAGCAAGCAGAGAAAATGACAGAAATAGGGGTATTTAGCTGACAGGGGATAAAATTAGGTATAACAGATAAACATAGATAGAAATAAATAAAATTTATCCTGGAATATAAGTGTAGAACTTGAGCACTATGGCAGAATGTAATTCCATATCAGATAAGTTCATTTTAAATATCACATAGGGATTGCGGTATTAATAACTGGATTAGTGTTCAATCGATGATAAACAATGCTTCAGTGATTAACCTCCTTATCTCTCCACCTAACCATGCTTCTTTTTAATACTATCACCCTCTACAGCCCTAAGTATTGTGTGCATCGGTGGCACAGTAGTTATGACTCTAGCCGACCATGCACATGGTCCGGGGTTCGACCCCCTGCCGATGCACACCTGATATCTACAGTCGGCCTGTGAAATTTGGGCTACCGATATCACACTCTCTGAAAATTCCATAACTGTACCAAAAAATACGATGTGGAAACAAGCCGTAATAAAAAAAGTGAATCCAATGAAATGTTTGAGCTTTTTTCTAGGTTATTTAACTTAGCAGGGTCAATTATTCTACATCTAGCTAAATTTTTATGTTCAGATAATCTAACTGACCCGGATCTACCAGTTTGACGTATGTAATTGACATTACAGTGATTACATTTTTTATTTTTATTTATTTTATTCCTTTACGTTCTCAGTGGAACATAGGGCTTCAGGCTGGAGCTGTGAAGTTCCGTTAGCAATGATGTTTATTTTTACAGGATGAGACTGCTAGCCTCGTCCCCAACTTTCCCTCTTTACCAGTCTTATTGCTGGTTTTGCGAGGTAAAGGAGTGCGTTGGCCAGAAATCGAACCATTAACCACCTGGATAGTTAGTGAGTCTTCTACCGTTGTGCCAACAACGCAAAAAATTAGTAAACTATATTATTCTTCTTAATTGCATCTACTGGATCATTAAGCCGACAAATATTATTTCTTAGAGAGTTTCTTTTTGTTGGTTCAAATGCTACCCTTACTCCAGCCTCATTGAGAATCCTACGTCAGGCCTCTGACATTCCTTCTTTATATGGTTATCCAGTTATAATACCGCATAACTGTGTGATATTTAAAATAAACTTATCCAATATGGTATTACTCTGAAGTATGTTTTTTTTGAGTTATAAGTGGGAAGTATTGCTTCAAAGGGTTTGAAGACTCAATAGCTGTGGCTTCACATCCAACCTTTTATCTCTTCCAGGCTTACTCTCTACCAAATAAACTGGATGGAGTTAAGAAGCGTGTTGGCAGGGAAATGAATCCGGACCTCCGCCATGCTAAGCGAGTATTCAACCATAGAATTACTGACATATGATAAGTTAAAACAGGTCACAAAATTCATCATGACACTTAAAAAATATCAAGAAATCTGCAATAGGTTACTAGGTAGTGTTCCAAAATTATTTGTTAATATTTTGAACCTGAGTTCATAATCCTATAATAATTCCACTCCTTCCTCATGTTTTTCTTACCTATTCTTCCTAACTCTTATATGTGATCGTGACCAGTAAATATTTTGATCTACACTGATAAAAAGATGTTTCTTTCTTCTCTATTACCTACAATATAAGTATGGCAAGGATCCGAATACAGAAAATGTGTTGCGCAGAGGCAGTGTACATTTCAGACAAATCACGGCTTTGCAACCCCTCAGATATCTTAGCTAATAAGACGATAGTGATTAATTAGTATCTCAGAGGGAGCATCATCACTCGCTGGGATATGCAGGTACATCCAGATAACTAGTCTCAAACAGGACGAAACAGGCATTCTGGATTCCGCTGCTAGTCATCATTTGCCAAATTACCTTAAGTCAATTCTCAGACATCACTGAGGCATCCCTCCTGGAAGTCAATATGTCAACAAGGGTCAAATATTTCGGTCACATTAGTTGGTAGGAAAATCAAAAGTGTATTAAAAATAGATAATAAACATAGAATCATTATTAATTACTGTTTCACAATTATTTCACGTAGCTTTAATTCAAGATTATGAAAATGTGATGGAAGCACTTTGGTTACATTCAAATGCCTCCTAAAATATGTGTAAATAAAAGTAATAGACTTCAATCTTTATCTACCCTGGACCACTTAAACTATTGAAAATACAAATAATTATTATTACTGTTTACTTTTATTTCACATAGCGGGGTGTGCTACTAATATGATTTTGTCAGTAATATATAACATATGTGTAATAACTTCTCTTAGAATATTGAATAGAGAGTCGATAGATTAGGTTGCGAAAAGAGAAGAGATGAGAAGTCTCTGTGAAACAACCAATCATGTGTAAATCGAAAATTTAATGTGAGGTATCTGTACTTTTCCCAATTGGGGACAGATAAACAGTTCTGCCACTAAATACTACTGTGTCCTGTCGTTACGGTGTAATTGACTAGTTGTCAGACATTTTTTTGTTATTGTCAACCACACTAGCTGGAAACCCGTATAGCCATTCTAGGAAGGGAGGAGGGGCAAGACAAGGAGTGGTTGTCCACTGACACGTATAAGCTAATAAGGGAAAGTAGGAGGGTGAAACAGAAAAATACCAGTGAAAAGGTAGACAATGTAAGGAAGAGCTAAGTGTGATTTATAGGGCACTAAACAAAGGAGTGCAGAAGAGTGCCAGGAAGGATGAAAGACAATTTTACAACACACCATATATTGAAGTAGAACGGGTTGAAGGTAGGAAAGACCTCAGAACACTACATTAGATAACCATGTCTCCATCCAAGAAGAGGTCAACACAGATGAAATAAATGAACTTAGTTGCCCAAGAGGAGAAGCACAGGAAACGTAGAGTCAAATATTTCAAAGGATCGACCAGGATCTGCAGCTTGTTGCGGAACACAACCGAAAGACACAGAAGTGCCAGACAGCAACTAAGCCAGAAGTCTTAAAGCGTATGAGATTACATAAAACGTGGAAGGGAACGGAGATGGATTGGACACCCTGGGGAGGCATCATACACCAGTCAGCCCCTCGAGTTGAACCCAAATATGGAACGGCTATTTGGGCACGGATCCGACGATAATAGGGAGGAGGACGTGTGGGGAGAAAATGAAGGCTTATGGGCGTTTATAAAGCCAGCTAAAACAGAGTACAAAGAACAGAATGAATTCATGATGTGTTGTTGAAGCACTCTGTCCCACTTCGGATCCAAGGGAATAACAATAAAATGCTAATTGTAAAAATTCTGATTGCTGCGGAACTACGAAATGGTAAAACCATATGGCGATAATGATTGTTTCTAGTTTGCCCACACATTGCTATCAGTTAGAGGACTGTTGTTAACAAGGGCTATTTCTTCCTGGTTTCGGACTCACTGGCAGTACTCACCGATGAGATCACCTTGCCAGTGAGAGTGAGAATCAATACTCGCCAATAACACTGGCTGGTAGTTGCGTTTAAATCACAAACAGGTAGAAGTGGGAAGGTTCTAAATCCGGGTGCATGAGTACTGATAGTGGATCTCAGACTAGGATGAAACAGCTGTCCAGTACTCTCTGGTTTTCAGTTGTTCTCTAACTGAAGTAAGTTTGCAGTTAAACCTGGAACAAATCAAATCCCTACTAACGAAATCTTGAATACGTCGTGTCTATCAATTCAATCACTCTAGTACAGCCAGATACATTAGCTATTATTCTAGCAATTTAGTCTTTTCGTGCTCAAAAATACCTAACAGTGTGATTCAATAAAGTTGCGGTGAAAAGCTATCAAGAGTTCGATATTAGATTACTTAGTCCAAACAGGCCACTGTAAAATCTTTTCCTAACATCCATCGGGTACCAAGTAAATTGTCAAAAGCCCTTAGATACTGAATACTCCAAACAAAAGAAGGCTATGGGAATTCGCTTAAAACAAGCAGATCTTTGTCTACAAAACATAAAGTTACAGTTACTAGAACTAACCTGATTTAATGGGGGGACGTGCCAGTAAATTCATAAATTCTGTGCTATTAATTTTCTCAATTTTATCTAATATTCAAATTAGTAATATATATATATATATATATATATATATATATATATATGCACATATTATCACTTACATTTGCTTTTGTAAGCTGTAATTCTACTTAACTTAACAACGTGACATTATTCTGAAAAAGCAATAATGTTGACAATAACGATTACTCTTTAGATATTATTGAGAGCACATAAAGTGTAAAGGCGAATAAAGAGGTAGTTATCGAAGAGAATATTCTTCGGGCTCAATCTTCCTGTTCTGTGTCTAAATAACTCTCAGATTAACACATACACACACATACAAATGCAGAATAACACACACAACACATTTCTAAATTCCTCGGATATCATTGTTATGTCACATATATATATATATATTTAAGGAAGGGTCATTTGGAAATATGAATCAAATTGTTTCCATTCATAGTTATGGTCATTAAAGGTAGACAATAGAAAATGAGTTATCGAATTCCACTTTTGAGGTAATCGGCAATAAACTATTTGCAACTCTGATAAAAAGAACAATACTAACTCCAACACACCAACAGACATTCGATTATTTGTGAGGGTGGGGGAGAGGAAGAGGGTATTTATAAAGGCTTTGAAGAACCTTTTAGTTACTAGCCTTTCTCTACATCTAATCCGACTTATTAGAAATATAGACATTACCAAAATAACACTATGATGAACATAATATTTAATATCTATTCACTGAGACGATAATCACCAGAAATAGATAAAAATGCTTGTAACTGTGATGAAACTATTTAAAATATAATCTCAGTGTGTATAGAATATCAAAACAAGATTTTTTCTCTGACAATAAAAATAGAACTCTGGCACTGTATTATCATCATTAGGTAGTTGGAGGCAATCGGCAACAGGAAACCTTGGAACTAGGTTTCGCTCTAGCTGGCACTCATCAGCAAGGCGTATCTACAACCCTCTGAGATTCGAACCTGCGTTGTCACCCAGTGCTGCAGTCAGAGGCGTTAC